ACCCACCGTCCTTACAGAACAGGACGTGCTGAGCATTTTATGCTATGCACAACGACGAAATCTCGCCGTCATTGCCGACGAGGTCTACCAGGAAAACGTCTACGGTAATGGCCACACTTTCGTCCCCTTCCGAAGAGTTTTGTTGGAGCACTCAACCGACCGCTCAACCGACCGCTCAACCGACCGCTCAGGACAACATTCAGGACAACATTCGGGCGAGCAGTTCGGAGGTTTGAAGACACAGTTGGTCTCGATGCACTCCTGCTCTAAGGGATTCTACGGCGAGTGCGGCTTCCGAGGTGGTCTGATGCAATTGGAAAATTTTGACAAGGACTCCCTTGCGCTGATCTACAAAGTCCGCTCTGTCGAACTTTGCGCCAACACCACTGGACAAATTTGCATGGCGCTCGTAGCCTGTCCTCCGAAACCAGGTACTCCGTCCTTCAATCAATATCTGGAGGAACGAAATGAGGCCCTACAGGCTCTGGCGTACAAAGCTCAGCTAATGAGCACCTTCTTTAATTCGCTTACCGGTGTCACATGCCAGCCCATCTACGGTGCTCTCTACGCCTTTCCCCGTCTCACACTGCCCCCCAGATTCGTCCAGGAAGCTGCAGCACTCGGACGTCTGGCAGATCTACATTATTGCCTCATGCTCCTTAATGCAACCGGAATCGTTTGCTCACCTGGAAACGCCTTTGGACCTAATGTACCCGCCGCCAACCTGGCCACAGCCACAGAATGTACACCAGGGCCTTTAGAAAACGCCCCTCCTGCCATCACTCCCGCTCCCATCACTCCCGCTCCGGTCTCTGCCGCTCCGGTCTCTGCCACGTCCGTAGAGTCCGTGTCGGCTTTTCCCACCGTGCCTACCGTGCGTGGGGCAACTCTTACCGCGCCCATAAAACCTGTACCGACCAACCTTCCTGTCTCACCAGTTGTTGTGACGGAAGACGCAAGATACATACCGGCCGCCGCCGCTAAAAATCCCGGACTCTTGTCCAGTGCTACTGGTCTTGAACACACCACTATTCCCAGCAAAGCATCTCAAGACGAAAACTCCCGGCTCACCGTGCCGTCAGTGGCCGAACCTCCGAAGTCTGAAGCTCATGAGGTCTACCACATGCGCATTACCATTTTACCAACAGTCCCGGAGCTGTCAAAGGCACTCGACTCATATCGAGCCTTCCATGAGCAGCTGATGGCCGACTACTCGACGACGGTCCTAGAAAACCCATCGGATGTGGACACGAATGTCGTCGCCTGAGAACCGCCGATGACCGAGGCAGAAACGGTCAGTGTTGAAAGAAGAATGTTCAGGGCCTGCGGGCCATAAGTCCCGAGTTTTACAGTGCTGAACAGACAGTACCCACCCAACATGCAGCACCCAACAGACAGTATTGTCAACAACGATGAACAGACCATGGGCGACATATAAAAGGGAAAGGGACTTGTGGGGAGAAAAGGGACGTGGGCTGGACTGGGGAAGAGGAGGAGGAAAATTAGTTGACAAAAATCAGGTATGGAGGGGGTGGGTTCAGACATCAGGTTTCTTGAGCATCCACATCTTGGGGTCGTGGCGATTCGGGGCAACTTGCAGCCTGCAGAAGTGACGACATTTCTGAAGTGGATCGAGCGTGTATTGACGCCAGTTGTGGAGGAAAGTGCGATAGACAACTTGCCGGTGACGCTTTCTAGAAACACGCCCATTTCGAAAGCCGTAGTGGCAGCGTGTGCTAGGAGAGATCTGCCCGCAAATGGAGGCAGCGGCTACGGCGGAGGTGGCTACGGCGGAGGTGGCTACGGCGGAAGCGGAGGTCGTGGAGCGAAACGCTGTTACCGGTGTGGCGAGATGGGGCACACCGGTCGCATCTGCCCGCAGAACGGAGGACCGGGCGGCGGTGGTCGGCGTAGCGAGGGCGGTGGACCCTACGGACAGAGTTCATATGCTACTGGAGCGAATGCGACGGGTATTGGAAGTGGGTACAGTAGTAGTTCAGGCGGTGGGTATGGCGGCGGTTCAGGGGGCGGTGGTCAGGGGGGTGGCGTATACGGATCTGTGCGAGGAGGACAAGATTCCGAGTCGGGAACGGTGGTGCGCAACGGCTATGGTTCGGAGCCTCCGCGAGGGTACGGCTCGCTTCCCGAACGTATCGAGGAGAGCAGCTCCTCTCCCCCGGTCTACACAGCGCCCCCAATGAGCGACGGCCCCGCGGCGACCGGCGGTAGCCGACAGACCGATACCCCCCCACAGGATGAAGCGGAACCAGGCGAGGAAGGTTGGGTGCCGAAGCTGGACTTGATCAAAGGTGAAGAAAAGGCGATGTACGACCTTATTTCTGACGAGGAATAAATATTCGACAGTCCCGGGGAGGTAACCTTCAATGGCACACAACACTCAGCCGGGTGTGGACAATGCGTTAGGTATGGACACTCCGACGCGTGTGCATACAGGACCTGTGTTGGGGGCTCCTAGACAGGTTGTGGACATGACCTACGGGACATGTCTTAGTCACGAGTGGCTGAAGCTTATTCGAGAGGAGGTTGGTGAGATCCACGCCTTCGAACTCCCCGATGAGCTAGCAGTGGAGCTAATGGACGACGACATGAAGGTCGACGAAGCCTTCAACTTGGTCGGAATCAGAGCCTCCGTCAAGCGCTGGCTGCAAGAACTCGACAGAGATCTTTTCAAAAAAGAGGCTCGGAAAAGACACCTTGCCTTCATCGGGCGCCATTGTATCCGCCGTGGCGGACGACTGGGGGATTGTTACGACGGGCCCAAGTTCCTCGAATACATTCACAAGGCACAGGACCTGTTACTTATCATGAAGTCTGACTGCCAACTACTGTCTTATATAAATAACCCGTTTCACTACCATCGGGTCTCCGCAGGCGAACCACCCCGCTTTACTCATGTAAGGATGCCGTCCAACCTCAATTATCAACTTCGCTCACTGGATGATCTATTGACAACCGAAGAGTACACAGATGATGGCACCATTTCAAATACAAAGGAGAAGTCAGACAACACCTTAGAGTCAGACAACACCTACTTGGAGTCAGACAACACCTACTTAGAGTCAGACAACACCTTAGAGTCAGACAACGCCTACTTAGAGTCAGACAACACCTTAGAGACAAACATACTCATGTCAGACGACAGTACGTCGTCAGAAAG